GTACCTGGAGAAGTAATCAACAACCACAATATACACGTCCTTGTCCAACTGAAAGAGATCAGCTGCTACGCGTTGCCACGGCCCGTCTGGCAGTGGTGTTGTTAGTAAGGGCTCCGGTGCAACGTATGCCTCCTTTGCACAGACCTCACAGTTCTCCACCTTTTGTTTTATTTGCTTCGTCAATCCTGGCCACCACACTGAGTCATGTGCTCTTGCTATGCATTTTGACATACCTTGGTGTCCCTCATGGATCACGTCCAAGACCTCCTGTTGCATGCTGATAGGGATGACTAGGCGATCTCCCTTCATCAGCAGTCCTTCAGCGACCAGCAAGTCCTGGTGATACTGCCAATAGGGTTGAAGGTGAGCTGGCAGCGCCCTTCTATTAAGTGGCCAGCCACTTGCCACCATGTTTTTCAGCTTGGTACACACGTCGTCCGAGTGTTGTGCTCCTTTAATGTGATCCAATCTCTGCTGAAGCTGGTAAATGCTCCATCACAAGGGGAATGGATGCTGCCACATCTTGTTCCAGATTTTGTTCCTCATGCCTCTGGGCAGTGTGAATGGGTGCCCTTGACAGAGCGTCTGCTGTGATCAGATTTTTGCCTGGGTCATGCTCAATCGTGTATGTGAATCGCAGCAGGCGCAGTCTGAACCTCAGATTCTGAGGAGGCAGGTCATCTAACCTTCTACTTCCCAGCAAGGAAATAAGTGGTTTATGGTCTGTCTGTATCAGACAGTCCATGCCTAATAAATATGTCTGAAAGCGCTCTCATGCCCATGTTATGGCGAGTGCCTCTTTCTCTATTTGCGCTTATCTGCGATGCGTGGAGAGAATTTCCCCACGTAGTTCACCATGCCCACGAGTCTTTTGACACCTCCCACATCCTTGGGCTCTGCCGTCTCTCTGATTGCCCTGAGTTTCTCCGGGTCATCCTCTATTCCCTGGGCACTTATAACGTGTCCCAGGAACTTTACTTTGTCAACAGCAAACTGACGTTTGTCTTTGTTTAGAGTTAGGCCACGTTCCTGGAGACGCTCTAACACTTTATGCAGTCTTTGGTCATGTTGTGTTCTCATGGTCCCGAACACAAGAATGTCATCAGCGTGACACACTGTGCCCTCCAGTCCCATTAACATTTGTGTCAACCGACGCTGAAAATGTTCTGCCACTAACGAAACCCCGAAAGGGAGCCTCTTGTATCCGTACCTCCCAAACGGGGTGATGAATGTCGTTAAAGGGGCCGATTCTGGATGCAGGGGCATCTGCCAAAATCTGGCAGTGGCATCCAGTTTTGTAAAGATAGCTGCTCCAGTGAGTTTTGCTAGAGTTTCATCCACTGCTGGAAATATGTGTCTTTCTCGACAGATGTATTCATTTAACTGAGTCATGTCAGAACATATTCTGATTTTTCCATTCGGTTTTGGTGCCACCACCATTCCTGCATACCATTCTGTGCTCTCCTCTATGGGCGCGATGACTTCCATTTCCACCATTCTGTTCAGTTCTTCTTTTACTTTATCATGCACTGGTAGGGGTACTCGTCTTGGTAGTGACAATGCAAAAGGCTTGGCATTACTTTTGAGTTTGATCTTGTATTCACCTTCTATAAAGCCCAGTCCAGTGAAGACTTTGTGATATTTGCTGCTAATTTCTTCTTGCCAGTCTTTACTGATATTCTCAACCAGGTGCATTAGCTGCAGTTCTGTGATGGCTGGAAATCCCAGCAGGGGGGTAGCTAGCTTCTGTACAACATAGATTGGCTGTGTTATTGTTTTGTCCTTGTGTTCCATTATTCCTTCAAAATGTCCCCTCACTTGTAAAAGGTTCACTGCTGGGCCCGCACAGTGGTACTGTTGCTCTGGTGAGGGGACCATGCTGGTCTTCTGAATATAAGGATGCTGGAATGACTGTAACCTCAGCTCCTGTGTCCAGCTTGAAGGAAATGTCTTGTCCATTCACTTTAATAATCCTTTTCCATGATCTGAGTTTGTTGCTTCCTGATACAGCTCCCAGAAAGAGGGTGTGGTCGCTGTCCACCGCAGTAATTGCCCCCACTCTGCCTGACCGCCAAACAGCTGCAAAATGTCATCTTTTTCTGCATTTTCTGCACTCTGCTTCTCTTGCTGCACAGTTGTTTAGAGAGTGTGCTGGTGCTTTACCACACCTTCTACAGCTTTTCAGTCCTTTTTGAGGATCGTGTTGGGTCTTTGTACAACCTGTCTTTGCTGTCTGTTGCTCTTTGTAATTTTTCTTTTTAAATTTTAGAAAGTCCACGTTTGTTTCTTTCTGCTCTGACATGTTTCATGTACTATGTTCAGCGCCTTGGGCTACCCGACAGGGTTGCGGGAGGCGCTATATAAATAAAGCTTTGATTGATTGATTGATTGATTGATTGATTGATTGATGTTTGTGTCTCGCACCACCGGTTGCTGTCTTTTAATTTCCCCATGTTGTCTTATTGCTGTTACAGCCTTTTCCAGGGTCAGCTCACTGTCCATCTGTAGTTTTTCTGACAGGCCATGATGCCTGATTCCAACTACTAGTCTGTCACGGATCATTTCATCCTGCAATGGGCCGTACTGGCAATGCTCTGCTAGTTTATAAACTGCTGATATAAAAGCCTCCACTGACTCCCCCGGTTCTTGGCATTTTCTATTGAAACGAGCACGTTCATATATTGCGTTGTACTGGCAAATAAAATGCTTATAAAAAGCCTCCTTCACTGGTTTATATGTTTACATTTCGTCCTTAGTCAATCCAAGTGTGCTCAAAATATCGTCTGCTTTATCCCCCATTGTATAAACAAGGGAGTTAACCTGATATTCCTCATCCTTTTTGTCCAGTCCAGCTGCTACTGGGAAGCGTTCAAATCTGCGAATCCAGTTGGGCCAGTTGGAAAAGTCAGAAAAGTCAAAGTTTTCTGGCGGGTTTATGGAGAAGAGTGTATCCATCTTCTATCTCTCCAGCCTGGTAGAAGCCGCTAGCCTGAATCTAACGTTAGCTTCAGGTCGCTCTTAACTCTCGTACCTTTACAGTCTTGCAAGCTGTCTTCTGGAGGACCTCCGCAGTTGGGACGGGATCCGATCCCACTTCTGACACCATGTAATATCCTCAGATATCTCTTATTTAGGATTGACAGGCTCACCACTCTGTTACTCAGATGCTACTTTATTAGAACCGCTCCGGGGACCACATTTTCTGTAACACACTCATCCGTCCGTTATAATCATCCTACCTAAACAACTCCTTTTATTCTTACATCTGCTCCTGTTACACCAGTATGTGATAAAATTATCCTTTACGGGGTTTATGAAAGGCCATCCAATCCTCTACCCCCCGTGTGGCCAGAATATACCACTTGCAATTTAAGAGTTTCCGGTCTGGTCTGACATACCTGGCGCTGCAGTCTGGTTCCAGCATATTTCCTGCATGTTTGAGATCATTAACACAGGTGATTTGTTTAATTTAGTGATGAACCACTCCTGTAGACACTAATGAACGCTGGGGAGACATTTCAGCTGTTAGATTAAAGTGTTAAAAAGACGAACGCACAGCGAGGAGGTGCGTTTTGCTTTTGGTTCTGCAAACGGACACTAGTGGGCGCTAAAAGCAAGCCAAAACGGCCTAGTCTCTAAATGGCTGTTTCAGGTATCCACAATTCAGTTTTTCTTCATCAGATTAACATGTTAAGTTTCTTTTGTGCGTTCAGTCTGTGTGATCTAAATGCATTACTTGGTTCTTTTTTTAACACAGAAAAATAGTAAAAGTTTGTCAAAAAATAGGTCAAAACTTTTCTGTTAAAAAAAAGAACCAAGTAGTGCAACATTTAAAGTGTATTTTCCCTGGCGACAGGGGACAGCATATTCCTAAATCATTGCAAGTAAGCAGTGTTTTTGTGTTTGATTAAGACCTTACTAACGGATGGCCATTAAGATTAAAAAATCCCTGGGAATGCAACTTTCAAAAGAGTTCTTCATCAGATCGTTTGCTTGTCGCAAATTGACTATCACATCAGAGTCCCTTTCAACACTGGCAACAAGTGAAGAGGTAAATGTGTAAAAAAAAATAAACAACATTTATGACTGGTGAATGTTTTGTAATTGCGTGTTACAAATCAGTAAACGGGTTTTGACCTCGGGGGCTTCCGTAGGAGGAAACATGGTGCTTAATATGGTATTGCCCGGAGACTTACACCTGCTCCCATGTATTTTAGACCTAATGCTGTGGTTGTATGTTACAAAGCCACCAATTCTTTTCAACTGCATCATTTTCTTCATTTTCAACAACATTTCAATGGCTATTTCCAGAGATTAGGGTCATTGATATTTTGTAGATTATTTTTATTTTGCTTTTCCACACTCAGTTTAGATATCTAAATGTTTCCAGAAACAATTTTTCACATTCATGTGTGCAATTTGCTGTCTAGAGGGAATGTTGTGGATTTATAAAATTTGTGTTTGAGTAATTAGAGTCTAGTTCTAAAATACCCTCTCAGAGGGTATAGTTTCATTGTTCGGCAAGAGGAAATTGGGACTACATATTCTAATCCTAAAATCACAATAAAAAAAGAAAAACTTTGTGGGACGATTATGTGATCATCTGGCTTGCCATACGCCCGATTTCCCGGGAACTCTGGCCTTGTGCTTACATTACTAGAAAAGGTGAGACAAGGAACATCTGATGCCTGGAGTACATGTAGGCCCGGTAGTTCTACTCCTGGAGGGGGGGCTTGACTCCTGAACCAGAGAGGTATGAGGAGGTCTACACTATGAACTCCGGTCGCTCTCCATTGAACAGCACTTAATGAAGGAATGTGGACAACTTGTACTCGTGTATGTGTGTGTGTGTGTTTGTGTGTGTGTGTGTGTGTGTGTGTGTGTGTGTGTGTGTGTGTGTGTGTGTGTGTGTGTGTGTGTGTGTGTGTGTGTGTGGAGGCGGGGCGGTTAATGTCCGAGAATCTTCCACTGAAAATAAACCTGCATGAAGAGAAGGAGAGAGGGAGGAGGAAGAGCCATTCAACTGTGAGGAGGTGGGGGCAGAAGGGAAAGAAGCTCCGTTTCAATGGAATAAAAAAACTGCGCAATTTCTTGAAGGATCGTAATAGTGCTGCTGGTTTTTGTTAAGGGGCTGATCTCAGGGGATGGTTGCTACCCGAGCTGTGTTTGATTTTTATTATTATCTGAATGCCAGCTCAGAGGAGGAAAAGAGCTGTGCAATCATTTAGGAGGGCGATGTGACTGTACAGATGCAACATCACTGATGGGTCTCACGCTTTTTGGACACATTTGTCCTCCCCAGCAGGGACACTACACCTAAAGGCGGTTTGGATGTGGCTAAAAGGGGTGGACATGTCTTCTCTTTTTTGGATGAGAGGGTATTTTAAGGGGCTGCGTCATCCGAGCCTGGGCATTTTCAGATGGACTGCTGGGCAGAATTTTTACTATTTCCATGTTTTAATCTGCGCGGCTGGATTGTTTGTGGATTCCATCTAAAAGGTAAATGCATCTTCCTGCGTTTGTAACCTAAACCGTCCCAAAAAACTTGATCGGGGTCTCCGGGTTTCTAGTTTAACCGTATTTGTGCAATTATTAAGTTTACACAGATTCAAGTTCCAGTCCTGTTGTGTTTGATTTCCCTCTAAATTCAGGCTGAAACTGGGTTGGTGATGTCATGCTTTTCTAGACAAGAACAGAATGGGTTACGGGAAGGAAGGTGATGTCGCAATCTGTTTGTGTCGATCTCATCTCTTCATAATTCTGTTTAAAACGGGGCCACGGATCGCTATGGGGGTGTGATATGCAGCGCCTGATCGAGATGTGTTGGTCATTTTGTGGCCGAATAGCGGTTTTGTGAACGTAAGCTAAGAGATGTGCACGAGGACGGTGTGTCGCATTTTCGGTCTGAAATGTCATGTGGTGAAGTTGTGGCGGGTTCTTTACTATTTCCAGGAACGTTTGAATTTTCTTCCCTTGGATTTTCCTTTTTCCCTTCTGTCTCCACCCCTCTTCACGCTGATCCTCCTTCAATTCAGTTTTCTGCCACTGGATGGCGACACTTGACCGGGGCTCGTTCAGAAAACGATAGAGTGCGCCTCATTTAGACTCCTGCGCATATTACTGCCGCCCCGAGTCCAAAAAGAACAGCTGTTTTGAAAGATTTTTGTGAAATAGAAAGTGTTAAATATGTCAAGTAAGTTCACGAATCTATAGAATATGTTACAAAAACATATTCGCATTTAACGCTGTTAACTGTCCGCGAGAGGTGATCAGTCACCGCTAACTAACGTGTCGGCGATAGCAAAAGCGGCGACTCTGTTTACTTTCAGGCTCGTGCTCAGTTGTTTATCAGCTAACAGCTTCCTGATCATACTTTCTTTACTAATAATCAACCCAAATCATTCGTCTCCAGCAGAAAGCAGCATAATTTCATCAATCAACTATGGTGCTCTAAACTCCAGAGCTTTGTTCGTGTGTCCCCTCGTCGAAAACTGTTTTTCACCAACTTCGAACACATTCTTGTGTGTGAAATATCACTATTTCAGTGTTAATTTTGTTCGAAGTAGAAATATAAGACCATGCATTTATCAAACGACTCTACTCCACGAGGAATAATCCCGAGAACACTAGCAGACGCAAGCTAGGTGGGGAAAGTTTTCTTCTATGAACACATCTCAACAGAACACCTGTAAGAGATTTAACTATAAAATAAACGTGATTCTGGTCATGCTGCTGTGTTCAAATTCTAAAGCAAGCTGCATTTTATTCTTAATTTTTGTTACTTTTCGTCGTGTTTTCCCAGAATGCAACGGAAAAGCTCAGGTTTTGTTTTGGTTTATCGTCCTTCTGTGTCGCATTGACTAAAGTAATTTGGCAGATTTGCCGCTGAAACATTTGGTAAGCTATAAATGATCGCAGTTTCACAGAAATGGCCGTCTAGAAAACGAGGGGAACTGATCTTTTATGGCCAAAATAACTCTTTTATTTTCGGCATCATAAATATTGAGGATACGTGTTCTTAAAGGCCGATTTATTTGTTTGTTTGTTTATTTAATTATCTTGTATGCATCGATTCTTGATTGTACAGGATATATCTCTGCTGCCACTTTTACAGTAGCTTCAAATAAGGTAGTGAAAAATTACCATAATAAATATGTTATCGTCTATTTTTTTATCAAGTTGCACTTGTTGAAAATAGTCAGTCAGAGTCATGAATTTAATTTGGTAAAGTGATTTTTTTAAGAATAAGAAGATTTTTATTCAGCGCCACCTTCATGTTTTAGCTGCAGTGACCGGCTTTGTCCTCTAGGGGGAGACACACCCACACGTTTGCTCCTGTCTGATTTTGTAGATGAGTCCCGTGGATGGACTCCAGTCCATGCTGTCAGGGTTTTTATCTGCAGGGAAGTAAAATGGAAAACACGTAGAAGTTGTTTTAGTATTTTTCTGTTCTGGATAATCACAGAAAATTCACACTTTTTTGTCTTTTTGATTTTTAAATAAAAAAGAGCAAATATTCTAATAAAGTAAAATATTTTCCAACTAATTAGACAAAAATAGAAGTTATTTCTTACATTTGCCTTTTTAGGATTGACATGATTGTCAGATAATTTTTTTGTCTATTTTGTTAAAGACTGATTTTTTTTAGAGACATCTGACACTAAAACCATTGACTAAACTGCAAAAATTTAGATTTCATCTCCTAAATTGCTGGGTATCTATATAGATAATAAACGTTCAATATATAAATGTGCATTATTTGCCTTCACAGAGATAGAGAGAAGAACATGGCCAGACGGTGGTGTGGTGTGTTTGAGGAGCCACCACCACCAGACTGAAGAACATGGGCCTCTTGTTTGTTAGAGATGGTGAGCTCATATTTTACTTCACTCTTTAGTCTGCTACTTATATTCAACCAGGTTAATGAAACTAATAAGGATGCTGAAGCTGTGCATTTGTAATTCTTCCGTGCCTGCTATTATTTTAAAATCTAATCTTCTGCAGCTTTGGAAAAATTGTTTCTCTGTTATAAAAACATCATAGAGGCAGAAAGAAGTACTTGTGACTTTCAGATTCTTCAGCCGATCACAGTTCCAGGATGTTTTTAAACACAGCTTTTAGTTAAAGGCTTAATTTCTACAGAGTGTAAACCTGTGTCTACATTTGTTACCATGGTGACCCTAATTAGGCACTGACGGCAGTTTTACATTTCTTTTTATCCTGTTTTTTTTACCTTTCTGAAGTGGTTTATGTATCATGGTTTTGTTCTAGCGTAGCTAGCACATGAGCTGCGGGCAGCCTGGATAGTTTTACCGCTAATATCAGCTGACTAATTGGTCTGATCCATATCAGAGTCATTGTTTATATGTCAGTGTGGTTTCTTCCTGCAGGAAAATGACCTGCATCCCGCCGCAAGCCGACACCTGTTCAGGTGAGACCCTCTGACCTTTTATCTCCGTTTCGTCCTGCCTGTCTGCGCTGACAAACGAAACATGCTTGACAGGGTGGTCCTGCTTGGCTGGGATGTTTATTTGTCTGAGCTTCACGTAGACCCATGAGATGCTTCGTTTGCACCAGTATGATGAAACGTCCAAAGCTTTTTAAAGTTTCTATTATTACCTTGAGTTTGAGATCTTTGTACATTCCCACGTTTCACTGATGTTTTTATATAAAAGCACGTAGCTAGTGTTACTGCTGATTAGTATTCATCAGATATTGTTTCATAGATTATAGCTGTAACAACCCCAGATCCTTACAGCCTTTACTGGGGTGTGTATTTCTGATGCATCACCCCCCCTACCGTTTTGATCTGCCGCTCGGGGACAAAGACACACGCTTCTCTGTAAAGCTGCCGTCTCCAAGGACTGAGCTAAGTCTTACACACCTGATGTCTTTGTAGCTGATGCTGCTTTGTTACACACGTTTACAGCTGGTCCTGAATCAGATCAATTACACACATGAACGCCTGTGGAAACACGCTTATAATCTGGTTTCAGGTTAAATCGACACCCACCAGTGTGATCAGAGACGATCATACGTGTTGGGAAGTCACAAATGGGTTAGACGACAGCATTTTGGAAGGGTGGGGAATACTTCAGCTTTAGATAACGTGTAGTTTTTACCATTATTCTCTGGAAACATCCATTGAAATATTGTTGAAAATGAATTAAATGATGCCCAGTTGTTGAAAAATATTGGCGGTTTTGTAAACTATAACCATAAAATTTGATCTAAAATACATGGGAGCGGGTCTAAGTCTCTGGACGACGCCATATTAGATGCTGTGTTTCCTTCTACGGGAACCCGTGAGGACAAAATGCTTTTACTGATTTGTAACAAACGGTTACAAAACTTTCACTATTCATTGTTGTTTTACACATTTACCTCTGCCAGTGGTGAAAATGTCTGATGTGCTTGTTATTTTGCTGGAGGTTCTGCTCCCATTGATTTTTGACCCTAATGGCCATCCGTTGGTAAGGTCTTACTCAAACACAAAAATACCACTTGCTTGTAATGATTTAGGTATATACCTATGTATATTTATGTCGATGGTATATATTGGTACCTCCCCCATTGCTAGGAAAATACTCACTGTCACTTTCACTTCCTTTTCATTTGTCATCCTTTATTCTGCCTTTTTGTCACTATTTCATAAAAATTCATCTTGCGTCAACTTTTTTATTCGTTATTTTCTTTGCTCTTTTTATTTTTTCTCTGACTGTTCTCCCCTCATCCAACAAGGACATTAGCAGTAGCTCAGTTTAGTGTTAGCAGAAGCTTGAGTTAGCATTAAACAGTAGCTCAGGATAGAACTAGCACTGGCTGGGGCTACCATTAGTAGCAGCCTGGGCTAGCATTAGCAGTAGTTTGAGCTAGAATTATGATGTGTTCCAGTTGTCCCCAGAACTCATTTTTCTGAGATAAAGTAGCCGAAAATAATGTAATGAACTCGAAAATCCGAGCTGCTAGCTTGTAGGTTTTCAGACGACCCCGATATATCCCAAAATTAAAGATGGCTGCGCCCTGTGCTACCAGGAAATAGTTATTGTCTTTATATTTTTTCTTATTTATATGTTCTGTTTTCTTTCTTTCTTGTTGCTATTTAACAGCACTGGTAAGTTGTTTATTGTTGTTATCAATAGTTACGTTGTTGAAAAATTTAACATTGCCGCCAAGATTGACCAGTGTTTAAGGTTTTTACTTTTCCTGGCGTTCATATTTTTACATTTGATTTGTAATGTTTTTCTGGTCGTATGTGGCGACTGTCAAAGGGCGTGTGTGTCACCATTATTTAGATACGGAGAAAAATTGGTTATATAATTGTAGCGTGATGATGACACTACATATTTAATTATGACCAATAAGATGTGATGATTCCAAATAAATATAAAATATCAACCTGATTGATCTTTGAATGTTTAATCAGAAGATTCTACGGTTCTTTACTTCTTTAGGGACCATAAACACACTTCGTATTTATTTAGACAGAGTCAGTATATAGTTTATTTAAATGAATTTAATTCTCTTTTCTAAACTAATGATTATACACGACAAGATATGAACAGTGAGATGTGATGTAATGAATATGAGGTGATTTTAAGTAATGTGTGGAATTTATATATATATATATATATATATATATATATATATATATATATATATATATATATAAATAAATATATATATATAAACATAAATATATATATATACATATATATGTGTATGTATACACACACACATATATATATACATAATGTGTGTGTGTGTATAAAGAATACCAGAATTAGCTTTTCACAAACCTTAAAAGTAGGAAATAATTTAAATGCTAAGCTGAAAGTCAAATGGAGTCCTTTTCATTTTTGTTTAAAATCTATAAAAAATATGAAATAAGTAGCTTTTGTCTTTCAGACTCAAACAGTGCAGTGACTTACGTAAATAAGTCAAAATAAACATTAATTTTTTGTTCAAATACGTCTTTATTCATATACACATATGACTTAATTGCAAACAAATTGCCACATTTTTTAAATATGTGCTATTATGTTGTAATTTAGTCATCAAGAGACTTATTAATGACTCAATTTGTTCATATGTATCTCTGATTTCATTTTCAAATCTTTCCAAACACTTGCGATGAACCCTCCTCCGTATTTGTTCTCAGGGAACCTTTTCTTTGTGTTGGACTTGGATAAGCCAACCTCCTGCAGGGTGCTCTTCAATTGGCTGGATGCTGTGAAAGCTTTTTTTCTTCTTTATCATAGAAAAGATCCTCATCTGTTACCACTGTCTGATGGGGCCATTTTTATTTTGCATTGTGTATTTTTCTCCCTGAGAATGAACAAAACTTTCTATAGGACCACTCCATGTGGTCCTGATATCTATAGGACTTGGTTTGTTTCAGCATCATGAGATCGGTTGGTTTTGAATGATATAAACATGTTTTATGTGTATCCTGTCTGTGATGTATATTTGGAACAGCTTCCTTTGGGATAAACTTCATTTTTTACCTTTCTCAGTGAAGAACCAGCCCAAACCTGATCCTGTAACATCTTCTGAGAAAAAGCATGAACACATCAAACCGCTATCGCTGAAATGTTTTACTTCTTTGAGGAAAAAAGGCAAACGTGACAAAGATCTCTCAAAGAGACCTGAACTCAGTTGGCACATCGTGTTTCAGGCTCTAAAATTAGAGCAGCTTCAACTCACATGGATTTTTATGGATTTCGGAGAAAAAAGGAGGGTCCAACAAGCCCTTCACAGCTGGAGTGAGAGTGATAAGCTGTCAGAAGTTCTGATAAATTGGACCCATTGTGTCCCATTGGTGCTCTTGTCAGTTTTGGAGTGCCCACTTGGGAAGCTTGGTTCTGCAAAATGCTTTTGATCAAAGACAATTTGTCACCACTACTCAACTCTCTTGGTGAAAGTTGGTGTGTCTGCCCAGATGTTCACTAGTCTGATTAATAACTTGTTCCATTTAAAGAGCCTGTATCGTGTTTTTTTACACCTTCCAGAGCAATGGTGGGCACACATATGATAAAATATTACAGCAGGCACTGTTGAGATGTAACTTTTTATGAAATTAAGCTATTTTTCTGAACCGTAAAACACTTGGATTAGATTTAATCCTGCCTCTCTCATATGATTTCCACAATAGTACACAAGCACCACCCCACCCTGTCGAGCTGCTAACACGCACGCAAACGGAAAAGGGCAACCTGAATCATCGTCCCAGTCCGTCTCTGAACTTTAGAACAATTTAGCTAGCGGCTAACGGAACTGCTCTTTTCACACTCCTTACCGGTACTTATTCCTTTCCATTTAAATCTATCAGGTGCGATTCGGATGGAACCGAGCTGAGTGAGAGTTCAGCTGTGGCGTGTAGGTATGACCCAAATGCGGGTAGACTAGTGTTGAGTGGGAGTGACGCGCAGTTTTATCTCGGAACTGCGGTACATGTGTTGATGAGAGCGAAGATGTGTCACTGTTCCGATAAAAGGTAAGAAGCGGAGTTACTTTAAGCAGACAGCGTATGAATGTAGGCCGGCCGGCTGGCTGGTTGATTCAGAAAACTCGGGCCAAGGTTCAGAAAGAAACGACAACTGTTTGCTGAACGGAGGAACGGCACTTCCGTATATAGCAGGGCTTTTCAATTCCAGGCCTTGAGGGTTGGTATCCAGTACGTTTTGGTTTTAACCCTGCTTCAACACACCTGATTTCAATTAGTAGGTGTTTATCAGGCTTCTGCAGGATACAGGCCCTCGAGGCCCGGAATTGAATAGCCCTGTTATATAGGCTCAGGGTGCTGATGAGCAGGAATTTCCAGAGCTAGGGATGCTGAGAAGTGGAGTGTTAGAGTCATGGGATTTGGAAGGATGAGGTTGGGCAGGAGCTGTGACAAAATCACTGACTAATGCCTATGCAGCACGGCTTGGCAAAGTTCCAAATTGGTTGGTTTTAGGATAAGCTTCGATGTGGTTCTAAGCGTACCGAACTGGAAACACAATGTCTGAGGACTGTCGGTCACGGATTGGATAGGGGTGGAGTCACCCACACACTCTGGTACTTTGCTGCCTGAAGCCTTTTCTGGGTCCCTTTTGTTTCGAGTCTGAAAATAAGCCACAGACCAAGCAGAATGTTCAACATCCCTACCATGTCCTCCGTTGGTGTGCTCTGTTGAATTTTTATGTTACGTAAAAATACTTTGCGCTATTTTTGTGTTGTGTACTGACCTAGTCTTGCTACGTTTCAACTCAGGGGGCTGTCCTGCAATGGCAAGCCCATCTGTACACCCATCCATCCATTTTCATCCGCTTATCCGGGGTCGGTTCGCGGAGGCAGCAGCCCAAACAGAGAAGCCCAGACTTCCCTCTCTCTATGCACTTGGGCCTTCTCCTCTAAGGGAATCCAAAGGCATTCTCTGGCCAACCAAGA